GGGATTGGACATGAATGACATATGGCTTGGTACCAATAGCAGGCATACAACTGGGGGTTCGAGCCCGCAGTGTTCGATGTCTCTGGTCACATATTCAAGGCTATCGGACGATGATTATGGTTCGGGATATGATTTCCTGTTCTCTATCTGGCGAGGTCCCGCCTTGTTTGATTTTCTGTCGTACATGCGTCTATTTGTTCCTCTTTGGAAAATTAATTAAGTTAGTTAAATCAAAAGTAAAACAATCCAACTCGGTGCATGAGTATCTAAGGACTCCTCAGCCCATGGTGGCTTCACTGCCACTGCCATTTAGATGCACAATGGGGAGAAAGGGACATGCATGATACGAGGTGTGAATGAATAAGGTGCAAGATGATTTTCCCCTGTCAAACTGGTTGGTAAATCCAATTCACAAATTCATTCATTCAATATTTTATTGTTGGAGATCTCTGTTCCACAGAGTAGCTTACCATCTCATCACCTTTCCTTAGCCTTATGCTGGTGAATTTTTTTTGGCTGGCATGTTGTTTGTCATGGATGGAGGGATTATACATCTACCAGAGTTAGTTATAATTTACAACACAGATTTAAAGAAGATATTTTACCAGGATAACCCCTAAGAAGTACGCGTAAAACCATGATCAGGTCATACTTTTATGAATAACAGGGAATCTCCATGATATTTTTTACTCACTGAGGGGTGGCGTTGACTAGTTAGTATTATAACTATTTCAATAAGGTACATAGGTAGTTTCTGTAATTTATCCATAGTACTACATATATAAGCAGTTATTGTATCTTTTCTTTCTTTATTTAGAGAGAGTATATATAAGAAATTCTAGATTTGAAATTAATTTCCAAAGAGAATAATTACATCACAGTTAAAAATATTTTCAATAGTATTGAAAAATTTTCTTCTATATTCTTCATCTTCTGCTCTCTAACCAGGTGCTTATACCAGTGACCAGCAGCCGTCGGGCACGGTCTCATTCTCTCTGCAAGATCTAGGCGGATTTAAGAAGCTCAACCTTTCATACGCGTAATAACTTCTTTATATTATATGTAATTCTTGATAAACCTTCCAAATTGAAATCTTTGAAGTCAGTCATTGCTAAATATTAATATCTAACAATCTTTGAAGGCTGACAGATTTCTTTAAAAAAACTCTATCTTACACTGAATTATACCTTCTAAAATTGAATCTAATTCTCTATCCACTGAACTCCTATATACAGATCTGTTTAAAGCTCAAATCAGTGTTCACAACAGTGATACTTCTGCTTCAAAGAATTTCAGAAACAGAGAATAGAGTGATCTTTTCATTATATAGCTTCTAGAATCAATGTCTGAAAACCTTGTTGCTAAGGGTTGGATTTTACAATTTATGAGTACACAAAGATATCTTTTTAATTGACTTAAATTACAGGCTCTGCGTGGCATTTTGACTTAATATAATGAGAGTAGTTAACAAATTTTTGTATGAGAATGAAGAAATGTACAGAGGTCAGTTTCAAAAGTTTCATTCAGCCAAGACACTATTTACACCACTAAATAACTAGCTGAAATACGGCAAACACTCATATGAGTATAAAACTACCCCTCATTTTAAATAGAGGGGGATCCCATATTAAGAAATGGGTTAAACTTTTCTCTCTATTAAATATGGCTCCTAATACTGATATATCAACTCACGCTCTAGTTGTTGCACTTAAATCTCCTTTTGATGATAAAACCACAAAAGAGATTAGTAATATCACTAATCTCCTTGTTCAAACAATCAATTATATATATAAAACTGCTCAAGAACGCAGTTTCAATCCAGAGCTTCTCTATTTTATTTTTCATGATGAATGAGTAAAAAATGCACTGTTCTCAGAGTGATTTGAGAAGCAGGCCCCTATTCATGAGCAAGTCCTTATGAAGGTATGCTGAGATTGATATAGAAGAGAGTGATCTTGTGTTAATATTGCTGGTGAACTCAGTCAAGAGGGAATGAAAATATCTCCAAGTACAATATGGTGTATCCTGAAAAAAACAGGTTTTTACAAGATCAAGCTGATATAGAAACCAGGTCTTACAAAGAAAATGAGATAGGAATAGCTTCAGTGGTATTTTGAACATGTATATTGAACTTTAGAGGACTGAAAAAATATAATATAGTCAGATGAGACATTTGTTGTTCTTCTTTAGTGCTGAATAGTATATTGAATTTGATGTACACTGTAAGAATGATTTAATCAAAGCTGTATTCATGAGTGATAAAAGGGATTCTCTGAATTCATATTTTAAAAGTGCTTTTCATACAATAAAAAAGATCTATATTATTGTTGGGGCCCTGAAACTATCATTAAAAAAAAGAGTCAGAAAGAAATATTACAGCAATGAATATAAAAATAAAGTTAATTATGAAGGAGCAGTGGTAGTTGAATACTGATATAGCAAGATTCAGTCTTCATTAATTACTAAGTACTAAACTAATATAGAGATGAAATGTAAAAAATGGCAAGCTTTCTTACAGTATGAGTAAAGAAATTGATTAGTATTGATATCAATAAAAAATCTTTATATCAAAGCTATTACTTTTTGTAAAAAAGTATGCAAAATCTCATTCAAACACTTTTGTATAAGAGGATATAGCATCTACTCATAGTCATTACATTTAACAACATATCTATAAAGCTCAAGATGTTCAACAGCTACTCTAATATATAAACTCATCTGATTTGAATGCAATTGAAGCTGCATAGCTATGGATAAAGTGAAAAATAACTCAGAAGAGGGCTCTAAAGACTTGAAAAAAGGCAATTAACACATGAGAGCAGGCATGGAAAGAGCTACCACAGTCAAATATTTAGACATGAATTGAGAGAATTCCTGTTCATATCTAGAAGATTATACAGCTTGAAAGTGGTAATGAATATAAATAGAGATAAATCTAGTAAGTAGATAGATAAGAAGATAAGCAGGTAAGTAGATAGGCAAATTATTGATAAATTTATAGACAGAATTAAGTTATAAGATAGATTAGCAAGAAACTAAAGAAAATAATAGATGGAATATTATATATAAATTAATCATACCGCTGTGCAACCTATACCTCATGTGGATACATTACACTAAAATGATAAAAACATTAAAATAATAAAAATCTTGAATCACATTCTCATTATTGCATTCTATTTCAATAATCAGTAACTAATCTATAATAAAAAGTTTATCTATATCATTCTCAGTATATATATCATTTTTAAATCAATTTAATTCCTCTTTTATCAGTGATATAAGTGAGTTATTATCAATTTTAATAAGATTAACTTCAAGTTTTCATCACTTTTTATTCTGTACTTTTTCAGCTTTATTATTTTTACACTATTTGATTTTTTTATTGACATCTTTAATAATAAAAACTTTCTCTACTTGAATCTGATGACAGATTGTTTTAACTTTATAGTATTTACTGATATTGAGAAAGTTCTATAATTTAATAATCTATTACTTATTAAGTTTTATATAGATTAGACTTTCTTTGAATATCTTGGTCAAATAATATATCAATATGAGTGATTTCAATTTGAGAGTATCTTTAATACTTTATATAGTATTTTCTACAATATTAATATGATATTTTAACTTTTAAATTGTCTTTAATGAGAATAGCTGAGAAGAAGAGATAGATATATGATCTGAATCATTCTCATCTTTATAAATCTGCAGTAGAAGAGGTAATAAGATTTACTGCTTAAGAGCATCAAGAACTCAGTTAAAATTCTATGAATATATATTATATTGAGCTCATTCTGCAGCTATTGTATCAGATTTAAAGGTCTGCTTTTACATAGCTAAAAGGTCTTATAGAAACTGCTGTTTTTTATACTTAACAAGATCATGATATGCAGTGTAGTTAACTGCTTTTGAATAATAATATTTATATTGCTGAAATGATAAACTATTCAAAGATTGTAGTAAATAAGTGATATGTGATAAAAATTCATATAGAATTATCTTATGAAGATCTATGTATTGTATGAACTCCTTAATAATATGAGATTCATGATTATTCATTAAGAGTAATTGATGACTTCTCTTTTATCTCTTTTCTGTAGTAGTATTGAAATGTTTAAGTTATTCAAATTTAATCTCATCATTTATAAATTCAGTATCTAATATAGTAATTTATAATGACTGAGTAAATCTGTTTATATATATTAATTTTTCAAATATGTTTTGAAGGATAAGATTATTAATAATAAAATAATATAATTATTCATGAATACACATTCAATGATTATAATCAAATCTTTTAAAAAGAATGAATAAATAATGAAATTAGCTTCTTTAAAAGCAGTTATAACTTATTTTTCACATTCTTATCCTTCTTGAAATTCAATTTTATTGAAGTTATATATGTCATATATGTGAAATTGATATTATTTAAATAGAATCTGAAGACATTCAAATCATGTATTGATATATTCAATATCTTCAACTGTCATTCTTTTTGAATTTATTAACTTCTGTTTTATTCTCTTATACTCAAATAGGTGTTCAATGAATCTATAAGTTCACATTTTGCTAACTTTTGAAGAGGAGGTAGTAGGATCTAAATGCTAATATCTAAGCATTGAATTTATGAAATCTTTAATATGTTCAGCTATAGAAAGATAATTCTTTTCATCAAGCAATTTAATTCATTGTTTAATTATGTTCTTCTAACTCTCATTTAATCTTTTGTTAACTGGAATCTTTACAGTATTTGAATTTCTGTAAGGACACTAAGATGAATGAACTAAGTGTTAAAAGAAAGCATGAGAAGCTCTATAACTAAGATTGTAAGAGAGTAGATATATAGATACTGCAAGCACTATAGAGGAAAAAGAATAGTGATGAATGAAATGTATATGTAGAATTGAATAGTAGCTAATCACTGAATCTATTGAAAGAACTTTGAAAATTCAAAGTGTTTATATACATAAATAAGTAACAATAGATTTTATCTTTAATCTTTCATAAAATGAGAAATTAACAATGCAGTGATTTGAATCTCCATGAAGTGCTGATTCTATTCTTCAGAAAGTACTGATGCTAAAGGACTGATTTTTGAAAAGTGCTGATCTGTGCTGATTCTGAATGCTGAATTTTGAGATGATGCTGATTCTCTAGAAGATGCTGATTCTAAAGTGCTTTGATAAGCAGTATGAAGATAAGTGCTTTAGTAAGTGAGTGTGGTAAGCAGTGTGAGGACTTAGAGGATCTGATCCTAAAGTGCTTTGATAAGCAGTATGGTAAGCAGTGTGAGGACAAAAAGCTAGTATAGAGAGCCTTGGCATCACAATTCCTTCCATTGATACATGCTCAGAGATGTTGATAAGGAACCTCAAATTCTTGTGACAGAGGCAGTATTTTGGAATTTGAGTTTTTTTGATGGTAAGTGACAGCTTTTTGAATATGATCTTTGATATTTTTATCCTTATTTGACATTGTGGTGAGTTATTAATTGATGAAGATGATGAAGATGATGAAATTGCAAGATTTTTATCATTTTGGTGTTTTTATCATTTTGGTGTGGTGCACCCACACGAGGTGTGGGTTGCGCAGCGGCACGATTACAGTATAAAATCCTAGCGGCAGTTGTGGCGTTTTTAGTGCTTGAACGAAACTTTTGAAACCGACCTCCGTACGATGATATGTGGAGATGGTTGGTTGTTGCGCGAGGGATTTACTCTATTTGTAGTTTAGCGTCTTTAGAGCTAAAATAGCTCATTGGTTGTTGTGGATTACAACGTCACATGGGTCCTTCGAGCGTTAAATTTAAGGTGTTGTCAACGATTGTGGCACCCGTCGCCCATGGATTTAACCTTTTAGAGTTTTGACCCCGTAGTTAAGATCTGTATGTAGACTTCAGAGAAGCATGGAATAAGTCCCTGCTTCCCCTTCTCCGCAGAAGTTAAAACACCATCGCATGGCTTCATTTCTCCTTTCGCCTTCGTCATTTTGGCTGTTTGATATGCCCTCAACCAATGCTGAACTCGTATTCGCTCTCCCCAATACATGGAAGCGTATCCTCCCCATTTCTGTGGTTGCAACAGTCAGACGTACAGTTCTTCTGAAGGAAAATATGGAATGCCTATAGTGTTTGCTAACCTGAAACTAAACGAAAGATTGGCTTTTCCTTCCAAGGGATATAACCCCCCAAATTGGCTCCTAATTGCCACTATGGTTGTCAAACCCAATGGATGAGGTGAGAGGATGCTACTTTTTGCCTCGCCTCGTTTATCGATAAAAAATAAAAGGGATGAATTCTTTTCTTTTCCTTTTTTCTTTTTTCACCTCTCTCCTTCAGTCGACGCTCCGAACTTCAGGACTTGTGCTGCAGCCGTACCTTCTGTTACAAAAGGACGTTGCTACATATTATATCTATTGAGAACATATAACTACTCACAATACTCAGCACTTTCAATTTGACGACGGACCAGAAAATCTCAGCATGAAGGGCTTCCTTGTACTTCTATTCTTTCTCTCACCCCTTTGCCTTTCTGCCGCTATACAGGATATGAGTCCTGCAGCTGCGAACGGGTGGCCAAGAAAATGGAACGACTGTGCTGTAGGCTTCGATGTACGTAGTAACAAACGAACCTGGCTCACTCTGTTTCAAAGCAGTCATCAAGTCAGTGAAACTAACAAGAGATATATAGTGTTTTGATAACAGAGATTGCCAGAAGCAACAGGATTGTTTGAATAAGGTATATGTAAGTTCACCAATTTAATCCTTCCCCTTTCATTTACCAAGAAATAAAATAGAAAGGTTAATATAAAAGCTTTCCGTTCATCGCTATGCATCAATAGGACCATCGCTTAGACTGGATTAACTGTGGAAGATTGTTTTTCCCATACCGATGCTGGAGTTGGACAGTAAGTCTATTAATCTAAAATATTCTGAAGTATGAATGAGGAAAGTCAGGGTGAATGAGAGACTAACAGGTGCAAAAGGAGGGTAACTCGAACTAACCAGCTTGGCTTTGGCTGAGAGGACTGAAATCCCAGTTCTCCAGGATGAGAAAGAGATCGAGTAAATGGCGGAGGAGGAATCTGCAAAGAGAAGATGAGAAATAGTTTATTTTTTTATTATTTTTATTTTTTTAAATTCTAATGGATCCATTGGGCAGTTATTGGAATGTGCAGTTTTTAATAACCTGTGAATGTTTAGCTGTGATATAAATGTAAAATAGTCATTGTCACATGTGGTTTTTATTCATAAATTCTCTCATCAAAATTTTATATCCTGGTATTTCTAACCCGTTCCTAAGACTTGAATCACTCCTTTATGTTCAACAGGTTGCTCTTTACATCCCAGCAAACGTTGATTAACCAAGATTAACCTTTTTTAAGTTGACCAGTGAAACGCTAAGCCCTACCGCCTCCAGTCCGGCTAGCTAGCGCCAAAGCTTAATCATAACTTTATTTCAAACCTTCACAACTCGGGACAAACCATGGAAAGGCATGTTGCTACTCTTAAGCTTTTACCAAGAAGATCGCATGAGTTGCACGCACTCCACTTGTAAATCCAGTTACCTATCATTGCGGTCCTCATGAGCTAAAGTTTCTGGATCAAATAGTTTTGAAATACCAAGGTTAGCTGGGGAACTGCTACCCAACGCTCGGGATATTCTTTTCTATTTATCCCTCTCTTTCCCCGTTAGGGTTTTAAAGGTCCTCAGCAAAACTGGTTTTCACTAGAAGCTGTGCCTTTCCTTTCTAATGCTTCAAAAGAATACCTCAACTCCTACATCTTGTCTTATTGTAAACGTTTACTAAGCACAAACAGTTAGATCTGAGGATGATAATTTGATGTCATCTTTACGCACTTTGAAAGTTTTCCCCTGAAGTTCCTTCTTCCTCAAACAAGAAGAAAGACGCATTCGAAAGCGAAGCAAATTGTTGCTCACTTCCGCCTAAGTGCTTAACGGCCGGTCAGTGTCTCAGGTACAAAGTAGGAATTTTGCAGCTTCATCAACCATCTTAGACGAGTTGAAGCATCTGATAATTCTGTCTGAAGTCGGAGGCTTTTTACACTCAGTGGGTAGTTACTACAGGACACTTTTGGGCTTACGTTATACAAGGATGCAGGAGATGTGAGGTCCCAAGCGGGTGGGGTTCACCGAAACCGACGTATGACATTGAGATTGCTTGTATAGAGTGACAAGGCAGCAAATATGGGCTAGAGTGACAGAGAGATTTCATTTACCCGAAGAACAAGCTTTCAAGAGGAGAGATATCTGACCATGTGGTATTCTTATTGAGATTCTTTGTCTTAGAGGACCGATATCAACCTTGTTGCATTGTGGGACTCTAAGCGAGCTAAGCTACTGCTAATAAATACATAGGTGCACGTGACCTAGGGTAGCCGGTGAATCCTCTAACACTTTGAGCTACAATTACTAATTCAGGATATAGTCTGGGAATCAGGTGATTCATGTCGTCAGAAGAGAGGGGGGGAGGGGGAGGGGGAATAAAAATTAAAATAATAAAATAATAAAATAGAGAAAAACATTCTTAGGATTTAAAATCAATAAGATTTTAGATTGCTAAATTTGAAAAAAGAGCAGGTCGATGATAATGAGGCCAACTGTGCAGAGCACCACGAATGACAAGGAACAAGGAGGGATTTCTTTTACACTCCAAATTCTACAGGAATGGAAACTCCCAATAGATCCCAGAGGGAAAAACCACAAAAAGCGAAACCACACCAAATGAAATCGAATAACACCAAATACCCCTCCTTCGAAATGTTAGAATAGAAGAGATTTGGGCCCTTCTGTTGACACAGCGAACGTGGACCTGGTGATAGAAGCACAGTAAACCATTACAAACACACCTCATGTCCGTGGGCCAGAATTTACACCATAATAAATAAGCGGTGAATGATATACGGGAGGCCGCTTGCCCCCTTTAAGACTCAGGGGAATACAAGATACCCATGGGCGGTTTGTACCCAGGGATCCCTCCCGAATACCTCTTGTCCATACGGGTACATGTACATACGATTTATCAGAGTCAGACTGCTCTAGGTTCCTGCGTCTCAGCCAATTCTCACAGATGAAGAAAATTGAAACATATATTGTCTATACAGCAGATAAATTAATTGTGCTGGTGGATATATTTTGCACAAGGCAGTTTAATGAAATTAAACATCAAGAAATTATTTGCAACACTCTCTTCTCTCGAACATTTACCTGTGAATGGGAGCCATATCTACTGCTACGGTGCAGCCGCTTGTATATGGATTAATGTTGGGTTGATCCGCTCCGATCCCCAACCACCACAGTTTAGTATTGGCAGCTGCCTAGTTAGATAGATGAATTTAAGCTTTCGTCTTGTTTATCTTGACTCTAAGATTGAGCCATGATACCTATCTACCTCTAAATTGGTCCTGTCAGAACTAGGCTCATTTCCCAGCTATTCCACATCGCTCTTCTCCTGCTCAAGTAAATCATTTCTTTCCATGTGTTTAACACCCCAATCAGGTCTGGTTGTTCATTAAATAATCACTTCATGCCATTTACATTGAGCTAGTTGTCATTAAAATCATATAGAAAGTATCATGCCTTTTTCATCTCTGTGTGAAAAAATTTTTCTTTCAAAAATTATAATAGCGATAATTATAATTATTTATTATTCAGCTCTGTGTATTGAAATTTTATATTTTAAATAAATTTTGAATAAAAGTCATTTGAATAATTTTATTTATAAAAAAAATATAAGAAAAATATATTTTCACTATGAAAAAAATACTCAATATATATATTAAATCTTTAATTTAATTTTAGATAATTATTCTAAAATATCAAATTAGAAAAACAGTTATATTATTCAAAATTTAAAAAATTATATAATATTAAAAAAAATTATTTTTATTATAAATAAATAGAGAAACAATTATCACTTGTGAAAATAAAATAAAAAAAATTAATTTTTAAAACAATAACTAAAATATATTATTCTTAATAAATAAAAAAATCAATTACTTATATAAGAATTAATCATTGACTTCAATTCTTTTATATAATTCTTGATTTAATATATTTATAAAATTAGAATTCAATACAGACAAAATATAATTTATGAAATTTGTTATTTAGAATTTATTATTGTTTTTATAAGTATTTTAAACTATCATAGTATATTAACTTTAATAAATTATTTTCTATTAGTACTAGTGATAGAAATATATATATAAATTATAAGTTAAAACTTAATATTAAATTTTAATATTTATTAATTATAAAATCATATAATAATTAACAAGTAAACTGTCACAGCTTCAATTTAGATGCAAGTGAAACAGATGTTCAATTGCCAACTAGGTAAGTTATTTCAATGAAATACTAAGATGATTTCAAAAAGACAGGTTCAGGGAAGGCTCTGTTTATACTTCTTTTCTTAGCGCAGTTGGTAGGCGGTTCCCGTGTTTATAGAGTATTTGTTTATGAGGTAATTGTGAGGTGATTGCTATGCTGTTGCTAGCTGTTGCTAGACAGTTGCAATTACCCTTTTCAGCTCAATGGCCTTACGCTGTCAAGTAATCTGGACGGAGCCTGTTCTACGCTGTTACATAAACTATTTTTCAAAAAATAAAACTTTTATAAAAGAATTAATAAATTATATGGAATGTACATTTTTATAATTTAAATTTATACTTTTATAAGTTTATTTATAATTTAATTATAAAGTTAATGAATATAGTTAAAATGACTTTTTAATTATATATAAAATTTTATTTAAAACATTATTTTAGTTTTTTTCAAAAAATATATCTTATCTAAACTTTGTATTTAAAATATTAGATAAAAATAACTATAATTTAATTATTAAGTAATTTATTTTAAAAAGTATAATATTATAAAAATAAAAAATCTTTCATTAATAATATATAAATAATTATATTATATTGTGTTTCTGATATAAACAATTTTAATAATATGATAGCTTTTAAACTTAAAGTTAAAAGTAGTTTATCAATATCTATATTAATATAATAATAATTTTTACATCTTAAAAAGAATAAAAAATAAAGTTTAATATTATTAAAATCTGTGACATACATAAGAATATTCATCATAAATATAATTTTAATATTAAAAAATACTCTAACTACTTTGTGTAAGTAAATAATAATATTAAACTATATAAGTTAACTAGTTAGTGCATTTGATCTTAGTAAAAAAGCTTTTACAAAAAGTTTAACTGCTTGTAAAGACATCATAGAAATTATATCTATGGTGCCGCTGATACTCCTCTTAAGGTATTCATATTACGCCGCCTTTTATATCAGATGATCAAAGAGGATCATCCCTGTGAAAGAATATGAGAATTACATCACTGAAGAGCATCTCCACTCTCTCTAATTGAATAGAGCAGCATCTTAGTTTATTCATGAAGAAGAGGAGGCTGGTAGAAATTCTATGTTGATAGTTTTCTGACCCACTGTTCAAGGGTCAGTTATTCATTCTCAATCTATCAGAGTTACAGGAAAACGCATACAACTTTCAATATAATCACTTGTATCCTTGATCTCTAGATATCTCTTCTGTTCATAGACATAAACTCATCTGCTTTCTTATCTGGTCAAGTCTAGTTACTCATTCAGCTTCTCATCAGTCAATCTATGCGGCGACGCTGTTGACTTCCAGTCTCAGCACCGTTTTATTCACTGCTTTCATATACATTATTAGTACTTATACTTCAAAAGTAACATCCTATTATAGAATAACATATTAAGTTATAAACTTATAACATTTTTTTAACATTATTGACAATAATACAAAACACCTAATAAATAAATGATATAAAAGAAAATTAATAATATATATTGTAGAAATTAATCAAAACTTAACTAAAAGACTCATAAAATATTTAAAAGTATAATGAATAAATTTCATTAATTATAAAAGTAAATAATCACTTTTATTTAAATTATTTGATTCAATAATATAACATAAATCAATATATTAATTGTGAGGACATAAAGGTAGATGAACTACGTGTCAAAAGGAAGTGTGAGAAGCTTTATAACTAAGATTGTAAGAGAGTAGATATATAGATGCTATGAGCACTATGAAGAGAGGAGAATAGTGATGAATGAAATGTATGTGTAGGATTGAATAGTAGCTAATCACTGAATCACTTGAAGAAACTTTGAGAATTCAGAGTGTTTATATATATAAATGAGTAGCAATAGATTTTATCTCTAATCTTTCATGAAATGAGAAATTAACAATGCAGTGATCTGAATCTTCATGAAGTGCTGATTCTATTCTCCAGGAAGTGCTGATGCTAAAGAACTGATTTTTGAGAAGTGCTAATCTGTGCTGATCTCAAATACTGAATTTTGAGATGATGCTGATTCTCTAGAAAATGCTGATTCTAAAGTGCTTTGATAAGCAGTGTAAAGACAGTTAAGTGCTTTAGTAAGCAGTGTGATAAGCAGTGTAAGAGCAAGAAGCTAGTATAGAGAGTCTTGACATCACATTAATCAAAAACTTTTTCATTTTAATAAAAAGATCAATAGTAATATAATTTAAAAAATAATTCAGAAAATATATATTTTTTTATTATAATTAATATTTATGATAAAATCATGAAATTTTATTAATTTATTATATGATGTATCTGTGATAATTTAATAAATTTATTTTTAAAATTAATATTATTTCTATTAGAAATCTAGACTATTTACAATATAGTTGATTTTCTCACAAAAAAAAAAAATTAATAATTGATTTTGATCTTAAAAAATAAAATAAATTATCAAAAGTTGTATAACTCAATAAAACAATCAATTTCTTCAGTAACTGAATGACTGAGATGATTATTTTTACTTAAGATGAGAAATTAAAAATTATAGAAATTTAAATCTCATAAGACAACTTCTTGAAATATAGTAACATTTAAGCATCAGACATGTTAATTGACTCATATCACATAACACTTCACTTATCTCTTTGATACCAGCAGATAAACTAGCTGTGGGATCTAATCCACCTATAAAATGCCATCACCTCTGGGCTGCAAATCATTGTATTGCAAGTTCTAGAATTAGTCACTCATAAGTAATTAACTAGTTAACAAGCACCCTGTGGTTAGTTAACTAAGGTTTTACGTAATTTAGCTTCTTCTGTTGTGAACTGTCACGGCTCAACTAGAGTCAGGATGATAATAAGACAAAAGCTTCAATTCATCTATCTAACTAGGCAGCTGCGACGAGAATATTAAACTGGAGATTAGAATGAGGAATGAAACAAGTAGCCGAATATATAGAGGTGGTTGGGGATCGGAACGGATCAACATGAGCAACCGAATATGGTTGAGGCCGGAGCAGATCAACCTTATTCCATATTAATACCAGCGACTGCGCCGTTAACAGTAACTAGTTAGTGTTGAGTGTGTTTTCAACACTTAGATTCCTCCTGTTTAACCAACTCATGTATGTACTTAACTTCACGTCATGGGACTTGTCATAATCACTGACTGCATATAATGACGAAATAAATAAATAAAGGAAATAAAATACATCAAACAGGATAGAGAACAAGCTGCATTTGCGGTAGTACGATAGCTTAGATGGTGAGTTCATCAGCAGCATGAACAAATGCTCTGATCCAGCATGATGTGAAGAGTCTCGCCCTTCCACCAAGCCTGGAGCCAATGCAGCTGTTCTAGGCCTGCAGACGCTTTCCTCAAATTCAACCTTGCGTTCTTCAACCTTACGAGGAGACATCACAGTTGATGGGGTTCGAATTTTGTGCATTATGAACTCGTTCGCGATCACCAGACCAGCAAGACGAGGGGTAGAAGCGGCCTGATACGACACCTCAGTGAGAAGTGGACTTGAATAGTATTCTGCGGTCGATCTGAAGAGAGAGCAGTTATGGCAGCCTGTTACAACATGGCAAAGCAAATGATGCCTTCACCGTGTGCTTGCCGAGTTTTCATCAGCTAGTGTACACTGTTTCGCTGTCGGTGAGTAATTCAGAAAAGTCCATCAACTGGGATGATGCATCACTAACATTTAAGTGGCACAGGTCCTAAGAATCTGAAGCAACATCATTTAAGATACGTCACTGTTCTTCTTGAGAGATTCACTCTTTCAGCGCGTCCCAATACTTCTTCACATCCTTACTAAGCGGGATCAGTTGTAACTGTTAGAGGATTCCCCGGCTACCCGAGGTCACGTGCACCTATGTATTTATTAGTAGTAGCTAGCTCGCTTAGAGTCACATAATGCAACAAGGTTGATATCGGTCCTCTAAGAGTGACTGCCATGGGGCAAGGAATACAGGGCGTGAGGCAGGTTGGGAATCAATCAGGCAGCTTGCTGACTACTCACAGTTGGAGAAAAGATGTCCATGTGCTGTAGTTACCAGAAAAAGCCACCCGTTATCCGGAAAAGGAAAAGCCAGCCAGGCTAGGCGCCTAGTTATCCAGACAGAGAAAGAAAAGGGTTCTTGTGACGGGCGCCACATGATGAGTCTGGCCCAGGTGCCAGCCAGGAAAACTCAATCTAAAAGAACAAAATATAACTAACTAACATGAGACATAATTTTGCTCTTGCTAAGTCGATGATTTGCTGCATTTGATATCATGTGGGCAATTCCATCATGCTGCGTTTTTGAAGAAAAGGAAGAAAAATTATGGCTTCAATTGGAGATGGAATAGAGCCGCTGGTTCCATGGTTTCATCCCACCAATACGATAATGCGGGGTAACTTAACTAGTTAAGCTACTGATCTTATTGCATCGGGATCTCGTTGCCAAGACCACGCGACTAGAACCACCCCATTCAGTTAGATCCCAAGTCATGTCCGCTCTCTGAATCGGGACAGCGGTTCCGCGGCACTGGCAGATGGTGCCATCCGTGGCCAAGGTAATTGGGGGGGGAAGCGTTGGCGCACTACCCAAACTAGATACAGCACAGCTTTTTTAATCCATCCTGCCCAGTTAATGCGTGTTGTGGCAAAATATTTTCCTCCATCTGTTGTAATGCATTGGGAAGGCTAACTTCTACTTTGATAAGTTACCAGATATTGAGTGGCAGAAAATTATGCACAGATCTGAGGTGCACGGAGTTGCAGCTGTGTCAGCTGACGCGCAGCACTGTGATCCTCGACCTGAACTCTCATCCTCATGATCTTGAGAAGGCTCTGGCCACAAATTTCAATGAGAATGAATGTGCCCGGCTCTTCCACAGGCGAGACAAGTTTGAAAAGCATATCCGCAATGGACACGGTTGCAGAGAAACTGATGTCAAAATTGTTGTGCTGGCAAGTGAGATTGGGAGAAATGATCACAGTCAGTTGTTGGAGTGGGTTTTGCTGCAAACTTTTCCCACTGTAGTAAGAAGGTCAGAATGCCTGACCTGAACGTTTTGATCATATCAGAAAACACTTCCAAAAGGGACAAATTATTGGTGATTGGTTTTTACCAGAGGGCAATAAAACTGTGATGGAAAGCGATGGGGTGGGAGATGAGTAGGAAGAAGAGGAACAAAAGTTTGTTTTGTTGTGCTGACCAAGTCGCGTATGGGTGCAGTCCTTGCCAGATGGTTCTAAGGAGGCTATAGTTAGTTTCCTGTTTGATTTCCCTCTCCCCCTTCACTCTTCAACTGCCCAGCTAAAGTTGCTGGCTCAAACCAACATTAAGCCGTAGAATTTCTACCCACTTGTATGCTTCCCGTCACCCCATATCTTTAGAATTCTGAATCTGCGCTGACGCCCTTGAGTACATAGACAAACTCCAGCCCAAAATTTTGACTGAAGCCTTTAATGCCTGCAACCCGCCGTTGGAGATTGATATGATTGGCAATTTCAATTCCGGCTCATCCAAACATGTCACCAACTGCATCCTGCAGGAGTAACTAAGCATTAAGTTTTTTAGCCATGATCTACTCTAGAGCGAGTAACGGGAAAGCCTAATAACATTCACTTACTTCGGAGTGGTTAATTGGCTAACAGTTTCTTATTTCTGCTCATACGAGACAGGAGATCTATTCTTCCCAAGTTTTCTCCCCTTTGGATCTTGCCTGTAGAGACAAAAAGTCAAGATGTATTCCAAATTCTACTCTGGGTACTAGATAGGCTCCCCTATTAGTTACGGACTAGCGGCCCACACACAGCACAGAGCCCCCAGTAGATGCAGCAGCTGCCAATATTGCTAGACTCACATGGCAAAAAGGGCCCCATCGCCAGAAGTCTATATTACTGGACAAAGAACCGAGTGCAATCACCATGGGGTCACCTGATCCCTAGAAAATACTTTGGGAGGGGAAGCCAGCTACGACATAACACACGGTAGGAGGGATCACGTGCGTGCGGAAGATCGGGGCAGCGGCTAGATACGCCGCCAGGGCCAACCAATGGAGAATTAACCATCCCAACAAACAGTTCAGACGCCCAACTGATTCAACCGATTCCCGAGTTACATCTGGCGTGACCTGCCCACTCCCTTGTCCTGGAAATGACAAGATCGCGTTGCACTTTGTCATCTATGGAGGATGCCGTACGGCCTAGTGATGACCTCGAGCAGCAAGTGTTGATGACTGGTACTTTATGAATCGAAAGCCTCGTCAGAGCCTGGTCTTCCGTCGGATTCCATTGTCCTCGGACGCGTTCTAGGCAAAGTTCCCGCATATCTCGGTCATGGCAGCAGGAAGACTCCAGCTTCATTTACTCTCCGCAGGAGAAGTCTGTGGAGAAGCACCTTATCTGAGCTCCTTGTTAGCCGATGCTCGCAATGGGACTCCTTGGGAGATATCTGCAAGCTTCCTCCAAGACTGCTGCATCATCAGCTCCTGCTTGGAGTCTAACGGTTAACAAGGTGTACTTTGAAGAAAGATTCTGGCTTTGGAAACTGGCCTGGAGTATGTGATTTGCAAGATTATGGCACAGGTGGTAATTATCTTGCAGTTTTGATGCTTGCCTGGGCGTATATACTTTCAGCGCTTTGGATGGAAATCCAGAATCCACCAGTAAGTACTTCTCAGAAGGAAGGAGACTTGCGTTTCCTCAATCAGAGAGCACTGTGGGTTGGCGAGGATTCCAGCCAGAGCTTGGAATGTATTGAAGTTGATTGAGGGAATGCAAGGGGTGACACAGCATGACGGTTGCAGGCAGTTCTTGCACCGGATGAAGGATGGACTGCAACTGTGCATCATGCGAGTAAAATGTGCCGTTCGCCGTGGTCAGCTCATACGGATTTTGCCCAGACCTTCGCATTGAGGCGTCATCCCATATGCTTTCACGCATGTGATGCTGAAGTGAAGCCACCTTCCCCATCTAATGCTCTACGCTTTCTGTCTGATATTGTTTCACTCATATTCTTCATTGTCAGGCGTTGGCTGCTTTGTTAGCTGCACTCTACATGTTAGGTTAACTAACGCACCGGATCACCTTCCCGTGACCCTCCCATCCAAATCCATTCATATTCACATCATCATTAAATATGCCCACAAAATCAAAAGATCAATCTATTAATCAGGGAGGAAGGCTTCTCTTAGCCATTGAGGCCTATTAAACAGGTCAAATTTCGGATATTACGACTGCTGCCAAAATGCACGATGTTCCACCCTCGACCTTACGCGATCCAATCAAGGGAGTCAAAACACGTTCAATTGCTCAACTTTCCAATAGAAACCTGACCTCCATAGAGGAAGAATCTCTAGTCCAGTGGAGATAATATCCATGGATGAGAGAGATCAGCCTCCTCGAATTGAAAACGTACGAAATATGGCGGATCTACTACTTTCTACCCGAGTTGAATCTACTGTGTGAGAAAAATGGGTTCAAAGATTAATTACATGTCATAAGGAACTAAAGAATAGATCCTCTCGCAAATACAACTATGAGAGAACTTTATGTGAAGATCCTAAGATCGTACGAGAGTGAAAATGGCTGGACCACGGATAAACTGGGTATAATCTTGCTCAGAAGATCTTTGAGAAGCACACCAGAACTCATACAATTGACAGATATAGGCTATTGATTATGGATGGACATGGCAGTCACAGCACATCTGAATCTGATCAGTACTGCATGGTGAAGTCTATTATATTACTTTTATAAGTCAGCTCATTCATCTCATCTGCTGCAGCTACTATATGTGAGTTGCTTTGAACCCTTAAAATGAGCATATGGATGAAATTGTTGAGGATTGCATGAGATTAGAGATCAATCATATTGATAAGAAGGATTTCTAGGGCTCTATCCTGCAGCAAGGAAGGAGGCATTCAAGGAATTCACTGGTCTAGTGCTGTACAATCCGGATGAGGTTCTTACACATCTCCATACTCAGCTTCATACTACTACCCCCACCGGGGAGTTCTCATGAATCTCAGTCATCTCCTCTTCAAACTCCTAAGAATGTGAGGCAGTTGGAATGTCAAATCAGTAGGATTAAGCAGCATACAGAGCTGCTATCCAGTCCCACAAATCAAGCCTTTAATTAGCTGATTAAGGAATGCCAGCTGGCCATGCATAGTGCTGCTATCTTAGCAAAGGAAAATAAGGAGCTAAGAGCTGCAGTTGAGAAGAAAAAAGTGTAAGAAGGAGCAAGCTTGTACATTTATAGCTCAGAATGGAGCTTTAACAGCCGAGAAACAAATAGCTAGGGCTCAAGCAATTGATCAAGCTGACCAAAGAGGGGTAGAGAATTCGAACCAGCCGCCTAGAAAGTGAGCTCCGCCACGCTGCAGCAAGTGTAATATAGTTGATCATACTGCTAGAAGCTGCCAACAGACCTAAGAAATAGACCTATATATTTTAATATGAGAAATTCTAGTTGATGGTTGCTTAATTCCTCATTTTGCCAAGTTTGATTGGGGGGGCGTCACGGGAAGGTGATCCACACGGGAAGGTTAATCCATTACGTTACCTAAAGCTTCGTCAAGTTCAACCTTTAAATAAGTTATCAAACACGTCCTCTAACTCTGCCGTTCTAGGTGATGGGCCATGACTGGTTATCTATAACTGAGGTCGTCTGCACTGCAAATTGCCCATCCTAATCATGCTATGAAGCTTCCCCTGCTAGATCTCTATGACTGATGATTTCTGCTTCTAGATTGCATCTACTTCCGATTCGCAAACATTTGATATGACAGGTAGTCCCATACAGTTCCTCTGGACTGTATCCATCCTCACAAATGCATGCATATAAACACATCCCGCAAGGGGTGCAAGAGCAAACTGGAGTTTATGCGATCAACCCTAACTATACTGCGGAATAGAATATTTTAATGGTAAAGTCAATCCATACATGATGTGTATCCTGTCTAATATGTATTAAGCTTTTAATGAAAAACATCTTGATCCAGTTATGGACTTTGAGAGCATATCTGAAAACCGCATTACAATGATTATAGACAAGGTCAGGTGATGTTTTGAAATAGATTTGTTAGAAATTTTAAAATAATAATAATAATAGCTTTACTATACTTGTACTACAAAAATTTAAAAAGATATATATTTTTATTTTATTATAACAATGTGATGTTATTATTTATGAAAAAAAAAAATAGATAAGAGAGGGAACAAATCAGAAAGCTTGTTGATATGCTTGATGAGCATAAAATCATATGAAAGAATACTAAGTTGTACATTAATTAACTTAAATAAAAAGTTATTTGTTAGTTAACTAGTTATTAACTTAATATAATGTACTTCACTACTTTTTGAATCACATTATTTAAGTTACTTGATCACTTACTCATGTGATGTAGTTTATTTTAATATGCATTAATCAAAATAATATATTTTTAATCTTTATACAATTAATATTCAGCAAATATTCAACAAATATAAATAAAAATTAACTTATTTTAATTATTTTAATTATTCAAAATTAGAAATTAGATTAATAAAAAGCTATTAAACTATATATTTATTTTTTATATAAATTTAATTTATTATATTATTAATCATATGAATAAAAATATTATCAATTTAAAATTAATAAAAGTTATATTGATATTTAGAACTAGTAATCAATATAAAGTAAATCAATTAAAAATTATTAAATAGAGTTTTATATTATATAAATAAGTAATTTAGTAAGTGATAAATATATTATTATATCACTTTTGAATCACATCATTAACTGAATTATTTACTCATATATTATAGTTTAATTTATTATATATTAATTAAAATAATATAATTTTAATTTTTATACAGTTAATATTAAGTATATATTTAATAATATAAGTAAAAATTAACTTATTTTAACTATTTTATATATTTAAAATTAAAAATTAAATAAAAAATTAATAGACTATTTAATATTTATTAAATAAGTTTAAATTATTATATTATTAATTATATAAATAAATACTATTAATTAAAAATAATAAAAACTATAATTTATTAAAATAATTATTTTTATATAATAAATTTTATTCATAAATAAAAATAATTATTTTAATTTTTTACTTTATAAAATATAAAATATATTAAATTTAATTAAAAAAATATATTTTTTTAAATAAAATAAAAAATTTAAATTTAAATTTATAAAAAAAATAATTAAAAAATATAAAATATATTAAAATATATATATAATAGAAATGTTAGAGAGTGAATATGAGTTATCTAAAAAAGAATTTCTCTGTGTCTAACTGCTATATAACAAAATACTAAGATTAATGAGAAAAAAGAAATGTCAGAGTCTGCTCAGATTATAAATAGCTTATATGATCATGTGACTGAATCATAACTGATCTGCTAGATTACATATGAAATATAAACTATAGAAGTCTGAATTGTCTCACAATCAAAAATAGATATTCATTATCTCTTGTGAGTAAGATGTTAGATAAACTCTCTGAAGTACAAGTCTTCTCTAAGATTGATCTTAGAGATGCTTATCACAAAATACACATTCAGCACAGTGGATAGATGAAAAACAGCATTTCACATATGATATGATCACTTTGAGTACAATGTTATATCTTTTGAGCTCACAAATACCTCTGCCATCTTTCAAGTCTATATAAACTACACTCTAGCAGATCTTCTTGATATATGCTTGTTAGGGAGCGAATGCGAGCTGCATAAGAAGGAAACTCTCTGTGTTGCTAACTGCTATATAATGAAAATACTTAGGTGTGTGTGTGTGTGTGTGTGTGTGTGTGTGTGTGTGTTTTTATTTAACGCCCGGTTAGTCCACGTGCCTTAAGGGCACGTGATCTAGTAGAGTCCGCGTCGAACTATAGGGCGGGTAGAGCTACGCCCGTAGGCGACTACCTATCTAGTAGCTATCTTACAAATGAGGCAAAAATGGGTTGCGTATTGCTGCACCGGCAGAGCCCATGGGTCGGTTGCCATAGAGCAGAGGTTTTGAGAGGTTTTAGGTTTGTGGGAGGGAGGTAGGGGAGGCGGATAGGAAGGAAGGCAAGGAAGGAAAGAAAGGAGAGGAAAGAGAGGAAGGAGGAGGAGGTGGTGAGGAAGATGGGGGCAAGACAGAGGAGAGAATGGTCTGTGGGATCTGATCTGGAGGTGCGCGACGGCGCATTGGACAGATATTCTGATAGAAGGCTGTTTCTCTTAGCCAGTTATTGAATTCTAGGGCCCCACGCGAGGTTGCCAGTGTCTCGCGGAGATTGTAGATAGGCCGGCGCTGCTTTGCTGCTTTTCTTGCAAGAGTGCAATAGTAGAAATGTTCTGGAGTTTTGCTATGTCCACACCGGCAGTAGCACTCTGCATCTTCATGCTTAAGGTGGCTGTGGTAGGCTGCAAAGTCTCCATGACCTGATCGGGCGGCATAGAGCTTTCCTAATGTGAAGCGTGAAAGTTTTACCTCTGTTGAGGCTCTCTT